TCATAGATTTAACTGATAATTTGCGCTGTTATTTACAGAGGGTAAAGAGGGATGACGGAGGAATGTACCGTGTTACCAACAGTCGGAGACTTGTCTCCGGACCATGTGTCTGCCCCTCCAGCTTGGCAATGAGTATAGCAGGAATCCAAAAACAGCCCTCTTGATGTTGAGTTATGAAGTGGAGTCACTGCATTTACAACTTGCTGTCTGAAAGCTGCAAATTCACCAAAATCCATCTTCATTTAAAATCACTTTTTAACACTTCTTATGAAAATTTAAAGAAAAAAATGAATTCTTGCGATCACCTTGAACAGTCTGGAGTTGAGCGGAAGAGCACTTCTTTAAATCAAGTTTGCAGTTCTTCCACTCCTTTTTACGATCCACCGCACTTGGTGCCAAAATGTTCTTGATCTGATGAATTAAAAAAAATAGAATTAAGGTGTCTGTAAAAGAAAAATGTTAGTAGTTTGCGATGATGAAGTGAACTAACCTGCCAAGAATCATAAGCTGCGTTTATAATAAAAATTGGTGTCTGCATATGCGGCACCACATATTGTGGGAAGAAGCACTGCAGGATGATTGAGAAATTAGCACTTGTTAAAAGTAATTTAAATTCAAACCCTCAAACGATTCATTCTAAATTATCTTAAAAGCATAAGCTGATAGGAAAGGATACAATATGTTATTTATATGTGTGTATATATATATATATAAAAGAATGCTGGCAAGTTGTTCAACTGCTTACAAGTTCGGGTCTTGTTCTCGAAGTGCAGGATGCTGGCAAGTTCTTTGCAGATCCCTGCATAACAAACAAAGCATTAAGTAGAAGATAGAGGCTTCGTTGGATATATTTTATAAAAAGAATGCATTTGTTTGATGGACATTACATGTGTAGCAACCACTTTTCCGAAAAAGGATTCAATGAAAGATCCTCCAGAAATATCCTTGCTGTTGAACAAGTAAAATATGGAATGAATTAAATCATATACCAAAACAAATATAATTTGCATAGATATATGCATAAATATTATCCGATATAAGAGGAAATTAATAATTGCACCCGTGAATGAAATAGCCGGCATCAGCAACACATTTTACTTTAGCAGTAGAGGGGAGAAGCTGTCTGAATTCATCACAATGCAAAATAGAGGCCAATCCCCCAGCAGAACAGCCTGAAAGAATTGCCTGTTATCACAATCACAATTTAGTCAGTACCCTATAATTTTTTTCCTATATTTTTGTTGATGTCGCTTGATCTTGAAAGATATTTTGTGTATATTATAAGAAATATTTTGGGGAGAGAAACTCTAATACTCTCTCTATGTAAGAACTTACAAGTTCATTGGTGATGTACTCTCATTTTATCATAATGAAAAAATTTTATCCATAAATGTAAATATATTTATCGAACCATATTAAATCTTGCATTTTTTCTTATTTACTCTTTAGTTTGTGTGATTGTGTGCATAGTATGGATTAGTTTTCCTAACAATTTTCTTGCTACAAAAATGGTAACTTACATTTTGTGCATTCCTCATCCCCTTTGCTAAAAGATCATCGATTATAGCATGCCATACTCTTGCACCTCTGAAGAAAAGTTTGTTTGCCTGATGAATATTGTATTAGTTAAAATTAAGATATAAGAATTAAATCAGTAAAAAATGGTGAATCTGTCACTTACTGTCATTATTCAAACACTTACTGGATTTACTGCTTCGATATCACCGGTGAAGGAGGAGCCATCACAGTACCTAATCTTGATTCTGTTCCAATTGAAAAAATCTGCAGAATTCAAATCATCAAGTCTTATTCATTTACATCTAAAAGAAAATTTAACAAAAGGTGTTGGGTGATATACATAAATGTAGATATACATATAACCTGGATTAGACTTTTGCTTGCTGCCCAATATACCAGAGAAGCCAAATTGCTTCACCATAAACTTCGATGAACCCTTCTGGGTATTTTTCCGTTCACTACAAGTTGCAATATCTGTGCACCATCCTCCTCCCTAACCATAAATTAGATCATCAACACATTTTTACCATATGTCTATATGTAAATAAATTTCATTTGTTTATATATATATATAAAAGAAATTTGGGCACCTCCATGTGAACCAACCAATTATTAATCCCAGAACCAAACCCTTTATCAAAATGGTAAGCCGGTGCACTACCATCTAAGCAAACTGCAAGTTAAACAGATAAAATATTATAATTAACAAATTTGGTTCGACAAGAAAAAAAGAAAAAAAAAGAATCAAAGAAAGAGAAAAAATGATTTATCTTCACCAGCTCCTTTGGCTACAGCACTTTCAAGATATGTGATTCCTACACCGGCACCTTGTGTTCTCAACAACATTAATGCACACAGCGCCAAACATGCCCATAATTCACAAAAGCTTCCCGTACCCATCTGCACATATACAATTATATTTTACTATAATTATTATTAGTATTATCATCATTATTTATTATCTATATATCTGAAAATAGTATCAAAAAACACCATAAGCCTCTTCTTTTTTTAAATAAAAAATAAAAATAATGTGTTAATATAAATTATAATTATATATGTATTATATCAAGATAAAATTTTAGATATATAGAATAAAATTAATGTGAAAATATAGATAATAATTATTTATTAAAAGTTTCAGATATGAAAATAGAATTTAATTTTTAATTGACTAAAAATAATACACTTTCTAATTTTTACTTACAAAAACAATTTTAATAATCTGTATAATATTTATTCATTTAAATTTTAGAAATATAAATAAAATTTAATTAATAAACAAATACGAATATAATAAGAAGTGATAGTAACATGAAAAGGAAACGAAATGACCCTACAAAAACTTTATTATAATTATTGAACATTATCATATTATAAAATAATTATGTATATAAAATTGAAACATAGTGATGGACCGACAAGTTATTTTGTTATAATTATTTTCTTGTTTATTACGAATATAAGAAGTGATAGTAACATGAAAAGGAAACGAAATGACCATACAAAAACTTTATTATAATTATTGAACATTATCATATTATAAAATAATTATGTATATAAAATTGAAACATAGTAATGGACCGACAAGTTACTTTGTGATAATTATGTTCTCGTTTATTACTTTTGGTCAAAGAAATTTCAACATTATCTAAAGAATATTTAATTAGTAATGAATCATGATAGCTGTCCCCAATGCCCCCTTTTCTAATGAAAATCCTTTCAATTACAACAAGCTTATTTTAAAGAAGAATTTTCCTTTTTAACTCTCTGAAGTTTTATTTACTTAGTTGAAATATATATATATACACACACACACATGATTACATAATGTGTGTACAGAAAAGGTTAATGTAATTTAGTCAGTAGAAACCAGCCAAAACAGATTTAGCGTATATATACCAGTTTAATTATAATATGAAAATTTTAAGAGAAAATTAATATACACAGAGACCACCAAATATAAATGTAAAATAAGATAATTTAAAACATTAATTATTTAAAACAAAAATAAACAATTTATATATAATTAAATTGGTCAGAAATATATATATATTTTAGCAAAAATTGTAAACTATACACAGCGGCAGCAGATCGCATGTGAATGGTTAGAAATGAAAAAGAAGAAAGACAACTGTTTTTCCCTTTTGTTTCTTTTTAAAAAATAATATACGTGTCGAGGTGAATATCTATACATATATATATATATGATTATATAATTCAAAATGTAACTTTTATAGCTGAAGAATCCTTCCACTTGAAGACAACAAACCAGCTAAAACCATGGTTTCGCAACGCAGAAAAGAATAACAAGTTTGAACAAGAGAACTTAGAAACAAATAAATCAATAAGTAAATGAAAGAAGATGATTAAATTAAAGCTTCCGTTCATTAATTCAAGCAGGAAAGAAAGAAATCAAGAAGAAAAGTTTCAGCAACAAAGTGATGGAGACGGAGATTAGATCTGATTATTACAGGATCTGATTATTACAGGATCTGATAACTAATCGAGAAGTTTCAGTACTGCAACAAAATCCAAACTAGACGGAGAAGATTTAAGTAAAGAAAAATGTAGAAAGGAAAATGAAAGAAAAAGAATCTGACCTTGATTGGAGCAAGCGAACCAGAGTAGAATCAATATGCTGGAGGTTTTTTGAAATTGTAGAGAGATATGGAGATATATATATACACACCTCCGTGTTCTGCAACTTCAAAGCTAAAACCTCTTTAATTTGTAGTTGCGATCTCTCTCTCTCTCTCTCTCTCTCTCTCTCTCTCTTGTATTATTTACATTAATTTTAATATAAAATAGTTTCATTTATAATTTATATAATTTTCACAAGAGGTTATTAATTTAAGTCGCACTGTATTTTTGTGTTTAGCTTCTTTTAAAGTTATATTTTTATTGTATTATATAATTAATTAATTAAAAATATATAAATTTATTTTCAAAAAATTTATAATTTAAATTTAATTTTTTATTCAACTCGGCGCCTGCAGAACTGAAAAGGTCATCAATGGGCGCCTACCTGCTGTCGGTGCCAACTCAATCCCACTCGCCCATTTTCCTTCTTATTTCCTTTATTTTATGTCAAAACAATTAATTTTATTTTTATATTTTATTAAATAATAATTTTTATTAACAAACTATAAACTTCAAGTATATTTTGAAATTTATTAAATCAATAAAATTCTGATTATAGTAATATTAATTTTCTAATTAACAAATATAAAATCTTTAAAAAAATTAAATTCATTTCTTCCAAACATTGGGTTCTTATTCTTAACCTTTTTCTTTTGTTCTGAATTTGAGTATTAGAGTTGTAAAGAACCCACTTTTTGAATTTTCAATTTATTATCACCTTAAAATAATTTCCTATTTCTATTTCTTTAAAGAATCTTATGCCAGGACAAACCCAAACCAAGGAGTTTTCTTGGTTTGATTGATTCATTTTGTATGGTCCCAAGTGTTTCATTTATCTTCTCAATCATCATAATTATTATCCTTATATTTTAATATTTAATATTTAAAAATTTGTTTTAATTTACACGTGTCTTATAGTTAGAATTCAAGATAAATTATCACTCATTTATTAACTTAAACAATTTTTTTCTAATTATTGTTCTTATTGAATACAATTTTTATCTATATAATTATAGCTTACAATTAAAACAAAATAATTTATATAAAACTAAAATCATAGAAAATCAATGGTATATAGAACATAGATTATAAAACAGCGCATTAAATATAATGACAAATATTTTATTTTAAAACAGTTACTATTTATCAACCGTAAATTCTTCTTAGGTAAGTATTACATTTAGACTTTATTATATTTTAATTTTTTGAAGTATTATATTTTTAAATATGTAAGGCGGAATCCTAGAACAACGTGGTGATCAAAAACCCTATACATGCATTAGCATGTAAACATCTTAAATTTTTAATTAAACTCTCTATATTTAAACCACATTCAGAAATATGAATGCAAACTAAAGTACTTGAGAAATAAAATAGGAATAACAAAAATGTCATGACTTACTCGATGAGTCTATTCAAATTTTTTGACTCAACAAAACAGTTGAAGTAACCTCACTTGAAGAACTCTCACTCTTATAATTTAGCAAAGTTAAATGTAAAGAATAAACTAGAAATTTTATTAATCTCAATTAACTTGTATATTTATGGCCTAAGGTGAGAATTTTATATAGGCTTTCATTGGATTAATTCTATACAAATTTCAATACTTGAATTTAACTCAAACTCTATCCAAATTTTAATCTATCTTAATCTTAATCTTAAAATAATAATTAAAAACAATTAAGATAATGATCGAAACAATAAAATAATAATTAAAAATACTTAAAATATTAAATGGACAGTTCTCTCCTCCCATGGCCGATCTTTGCATCCTAATTGACTTGAAGTACTTCACTTTATTTCAACTTGATCTTCCTTAAATTTAATTAATTAATTTGTAGAGGCAGAGTTAAAGCTTGCAGCTTACACATGTAGGAGTCTAACTTGGTCGAACTCCTTTGGTTCTTGGAACTCCATTCTTACTTGGAAATTTTAATATTTATCTTGACTCTTCATCTTAATCCATATAGATTCTTTAGGAATGAAATTACCTAAAAATTAATCAAAAAATATGAAAAACATGCATAATAGACTTCCTTGTCCAAGTTGGTCTCACCCATGAGATTGTTTTCTTGCACACTTCTTCATGTTTTAAAAATCTTCTTTCAATAAAATTTGGTATCTTCTTTCTTATCTTATCCTTGTCGCAAATTCAAGACAAAAAGAAGTAAAAAAACCAA